GAGAAAACATGATTTTCAAAAAATGCGCAATAGTTTTCTTTTACACACACACATATATATATATATATATATATATATATATATATATATATATATATATATATATATATATATATATATATATATATATATATATATATATATATATATATATATATATATATATATATATATATATATATATATATATATATATTTAACGATAACATAAAGACGAAAGATACTACTATGAAGAGCTACCCTCCCGGGCTTCAGTAATATAAATTTCAAGCCATTTAAAACATTCAATATCCTTGCATGTTTAGGAAATAAAACCATTACAAGACTATTTCATCTAGAAAGATTCACATATATATATATATATATATATATATATATATATATTATATATATATATATATATATATATACATACATATATATATATATAAGAATGTACTTCAGTTAAACCGAAATTAACGAGTATGCTCCAAATAATTGGAGGGCAAGTCTGGTACCTCAAAATTTAAACTACTGTTAAGGGAGGTTATAAATGTGTTTTAACTAAATCTATTGGATTGATTTTTTTTTCTCGTTAGTCTCCCCTTTAAGTGTCTGCGCATTTTTTTTTCACTTCATAAGTCTTCGGAGAACTTCCAAGAAAACATTTGTGTACATTTACATTTATTTTTAAAGAACAATAAACAATGCGCAAGCAAGCAAGCAAGCAAGCAAGCAAGCAAGCAAGCAAGCAAGCAAGCAAGCAAGCAAGCAAGCAAGCAAGCAAGCAAGCAAGCAAGCGCACACGCGCACGCACACATAACGCACACACACGCACGCACGCACGCACGCTCTATTTATTTATTAAATATTTATTTATTTATTTACTTATTTATTTATTTATTTATTTTTAATACGAGCTTTTTAACTGCAACAACTTTAATATTCGCTATTGGAGCTGGAATTACCTACCGCGGCTGCTGGCACCTGAGATGAACTCCTATTGCAAAATCAGAGCAGGAAGGACTAGTCCTCCCGTAATGCTCTGGCATGAAACTTAGCCGTTCGGTGTAGTGCCTCATAGCTACCATACAAGTCGAGTGACATCGAAGAAGCATAATATTAGCATAGATTAGAATAGTATATATATATATATATACAATATATATAACATAGCGCATAATAGCATTAGAGCATAGCATATATTGCGTCTATAGTAGGGCATTATCATTAGCATTAGGATTGGCGTAGCGTAGCATAGCATAGCATAGCATAGCATAGCATAGCAAAGCATAGCATAGCAAAGCATAGCAAAGCATAGCATAGTATAGTATAGTATAGTATAGTATAGTATAGTATAGTATAGTATAGTATAGTATAGCATAGTATAGCATTAGGGTTACCATTAGCAATGGCATTAGAATTAGCATTAGAATTAGCTTTAGCATTAGCTTAGCTTAGCATAGCTTGGAATGGCATGGCATGGCATGGCATGGCATAGCATAGCATAGCATAGCATAGCATAGCATAGCATAGCATAGCATAGCATAGCATAGCATAGCATAGTACTGTGCAGTGTCGTACAGTATAGAATAAAACATAATAGCATACAAAAGCATAGCAAATAACAAAATAGCATACAATAGCATAGAGTAGAATAGAATAGCGTTTTTAGCTTTACCTTTACCACACTATAGCATAGCATAGCATACCAATACCACAGCATGAAACAGCATGTCATAATAGTTATATTAAATTTCCAGAATGAGCATCACATAGGCTAGTTTTTTAAATATATAATGTGAAGGTTAGGGTTAGGGCTTAATTTCATTGTACCTAGCAATTTTAAAAACGCTAGTGCAGACACACACAGACATACAAACACTGTCTTCTTTAATGCATTAGATTCTACGCTAGTAATGCCATCAATTCTGGTACTAAAGTACCCCAATGGAAAATATTCTAGGCCCTAGGCCTGACCAAACCTTAAGTATAGGCTGGGGAAAAAAAAAAAAAAAAAAAAAGCATAACCCTAAACCTAAGCATAATGCTGACAAACCCAAAGCTTAAGCTGAAACAACAGAGGGCATATCAACCTGACCCTAATCCTTGGCCGATGCCCTAGGCTGGCCGCATACCTAGACCGAACCCCTAAGTATAGGCCCAAGAATAGGCTGAAGAAACACTAGACATAGGCCTCAACCTAAGCATAATACAGACATACCCTAAGCATAAGCTAAAACAAAAGAGGGCATATCAACCTTGGCTGAGCCCCAGGCTGGCTGCCCCTATATTGAACCCTAAGTAAAGGCCGAACAAACCCTAATCATACGCCTAAACCTAAGCATAATACAGACATACCCTAAATACCCTAAGCATAAGATGAAACAACAGAGGGCATATCAACCTAACCTTGGCCGAGCCCTAGGCTGGCCATGCCTAGGCTGAACCCTAAGTATAGACCAAACAAACCCTAAGCATAATACACAAAAAAAACAACAAAAAAAACAACCTAAGCATGAGCTGAAAGTAACGGAGAACCTAACAACCTAATCCTAACGCTAAGGATAAGCCTTACCCCCTAACCCTAAGCATAAGGGAAACCCTAAACCTTACTTTCTCATGCTAATAGTATTGCTAGTATAAACATAATAAAACATGCAGTATAAATTAATCTTTCCATTTTGCTTAAAAGGCTTAAAAGGCACAGGCTGTTGAACAAACGGTGGGTCACCAGGCTTATAGTACCCACTGCCATTTATGTCCTTGTCCCGATATCATTTGCCTGGGGCAGGAGTCGAACCTGCAACATTTGTTCAGACAGCACTCTATTCTACTCTACTCTACTCTACTCTACTCTACTCTACTCTACTCTACTCTACTCTACACATGGTGTGGTGTGGTGTGGTGCCTTTTTTAAAATGTACACTTTTCAAGTTTGTTAATATTTCAACAACAGCAATTTATTAACTATGCAATAAAAAAAGAATTAGAAATGACAAGATTTATTAATTTGCTATTATTAGATCACTAGATCTAGACTCTACTTAACTCTACTATAATAGATCTAGATCTAATTCAATTTCTAGACTAGAAATTATTGAGTTATTGAGTTACTTCTTTTGACTAGATCTAGATTTACTCGATTTAACTAGAAGTCTAGATCTAGCTCATGTTGTTGTAGCTAGCTAGCCTGCAGCCTGGCACGGCACTGCACTGCAGAGGATGGAGATATAATAGATCTAATCTAGACATTGAAATAATTGAAATAATTAAATCATCTATCTCAGTTGGATGAAAAGAAAAAAATGACTGAAATATTATATTAGATACCCTCCAGGGGTGTCCCTGGGTCCTCCTGTCATTTTATAATAATGATAATAATAATAAATTATATAGATTTACAACAACTTAATAATAATTGTTGGAATCATGAACATGTGGACTAGATTAGATCTACAATTCTAGATCTACATAACAAGTGTCACAAGTCTACTGTAACTGTACATTAGTATTTATTATAGATCCAACCCTATATAGCATATAATAATATAATCCTACTACTTCTACTACTGACTAGTCTAGATTGGAACTAGATCTAGACTAGACAGATTGAACAGAATCAGAAACACACTTTTTTTGGTTAAAAAGAAATATAGGGGCCTAATCTAGACCTTACTAGATCATCTACTAGAATACTAGATCTAGTCTAGAGTCTATATTATTAACTCTTTTTAAGTTGAGTGAGAGGTCTAGACCTAGATAGATCTATCTACTAACTAGATTGATTTTTTTCTCTCTATTATTATTATTCAACGGAAGCTGCCATTTGCAATTTTCTAAAAAACAAAACAAAAAAAGCGACTGACTAAAGAAACAAATTAATCTAGTTATCTAGATCTCTACAAACGAATACAAAGAATTATAAAATCCACTCGAACCCGCCCGCCCAAAACAAAACATAATAAAATAGAGACTAGATTTTTTTTTTTTCAATAGATAGATAGATAGATAGATAGATAGATAGATAGATAGATAGATAGATAGATAGATAGATAGATAGATAGATAGATCTAGTGTGTAGACATAGTGCAGCAACCACTACATTAAACATTAATTACTTATTATTACTTGACGTAGACTTATTAAACTTACTGGCTTTCAACAGCGTATATTTTATGCTAATTTATGCTAATTTATGCAGCTCATTCACTCTCACACACACTCACGCACAGTCGTACCGTACACACCCCTTATGCCAAACATGCAAAACGCAACAACTTTCCAGAAAATCCAACCTATAACATAGACTTCTACGAAAAAATCGCGTAAAAAATACACCGTCTGGACTGATACTCGTGGAGCATGCGAAAACATGCCGAGCACCAATCCCCGCCAGTCAAGACGAGACAAGTCAACCAATGGCGGCGGCGCAAGGCAAAGGCTAGCAGAGAGCTCGGTAATGGCGCGTCGGGTTCTCACGGTGTCTGGCTGGCTAACAGGAGGCAAGGCTAACGCAAGCGCTCTGTACGGCGGTATTCGCTGATCCGCGACTGTGTGTGGCATGCTTACTCTTACGTACGCTGTCTCCCAGTAACTTGGATCGGCACTTGAGATCGTAGCTCGTCGGCTCCCCTTGCTCTTGGGGCCGCGGGCACGTGCGGTGTCCGTAGTTGGTCGCATTTAGCGTGTTGTACGTAGGAAAGAGTTCCGTGCGGCACGGAGAGCTCGATAGTTGGTCTCGTAGAAACCCGGCCCTCGCAACGGGCGTCTGGGTTGGCATAACGAAATTGGGTCCGTTAAGGACGAACGGAGGGTCGAGTCTCCAGCGCGTGTCTGGCTCCCCTCTGTGTCTGGTGGCAACGATGGGAAAAAAAAAAAGCGAGGGGACGCAAAAGGGACCTGTTCTTGAAAGGACAGCATTCTCCCGCCCCGAGCAGGCGGCGCTGGCCTACGAAGGCTAGCGCTGTGACCGTCATATATAATAAGCAAGTCGGCTTCGGCCGGCGACGATGATAGCT